GACAGGAGGAGGAAGCAGGCTCCCTGCTGAGCAGAGAACCCGATGCGGGACTCGATCCCAGGACGCTGAGATCATGACCTGAGCCGAAGGCAGAGGCTTTAACCACTGAGCCACCCAGGCGCCCCTATTTTCAGAACAATACTAAAACAATATTTGCCCTTTTCACGTTGATGACATTTGCACTCAACCAATGGTGATTAAACCTGCTGGGGCCTTAACATCAATTGAGGCAGTGGCACCAAACTATCCAAGTGGTAGTCACTGCATAAAAACGATTAATTTTAGGGCACCTGGGTGGCTCAGTGGGTTGAGCCGCTGCCTTCAGCTCAGGTCATGATCTTGGGGTCCTGGGATAGAGCCCCGCGTTGGGCTCTCTGCTCAGCAAGGAGCCTGCTTCCCTTCCTGCCTCTCTGCCTACTTGTGATCTCTCTCTGTCAAATAAATAAATAAAATCTTAAAAAAAAAAAAAGGATTAATTTTAGTATATATTGGTTCTTGGGTAGGTATAATATATTTCTGCTGCACACCGAAGTGCAGTGGTTATCTCAAGGAAAGCTTTTATGCCACCTTAATAATCTTTGATCTGGAGGCTGACTGAGCAGTTTCTCCCACAGAATATCACTTTACCTTGAAAGAATAACAAACTGTGATTATTCAGACCTGGTTATGTGACAGAAATTTCCTCAAAAATGAAAAAGTGAGCCCATCATTTCCTGGGAAACAACTATAATAGTTTTAGAGTAGGCAGTTAGTTAGGTTCTAATAGGATGTCTGCAAGCCAGCATACAGGAAGTCATTGCCAACTATGAGGAAGTCAGAGGCCTGTCCTGGCAGCATTCCAAAACAAAACCACAAGAAACTGGATCAAACCAGACAGGTCCAAGATGGCTGACAAAGTAGGCCAAGGTTCACATTATTCCTTTATTATTACACTACATTACCATACCTAAAATCTCCCCAACACGGGTCTCATGACAGGAAACCCCTGGCCAAATAAGGAAGAAAAGGCTATGCTTCCAAGAAATTCCTTCCTCAAGTGATGAATATTCCACCCTCTTGTTAACAACTTTTAAGAGAGAAACCCAGGAGCACTGGGTGGCTCAGTTGGTTCAGCGTCCAACTCTTGATCTAAGCTCAGGTCTTGAGCTTAGGATTGAGTTCAAGTCCTGTGTTGGGCTCCACACTGGGCGTGGATAGAAATCCAAACCCTAACGGATGCCACACACCCTGGAGCCGACCAGCATTCACATTTTGAGAGCATACTTTTGCTTTAATAAACTTTCCTGCTTGTACTGCTGTGTAGTATCTGTCCTTCAAGTCTTTCTCCTGATGAGATCAAGAACCTCCAGTGACATCTTTTAGACAACCGGGGTCAAGAGCCTCACATGACCTGAGGTCTCCCCAGTCTACTTGGCCAATGTCTTCTGTAAGGTAATAATTTAATATTTTATGTGTAATCTAAAGAGATCATAGTACTTCCTAAGTCCTAAAAATTAAGTTATAGATTTTAAATTTCATGTAAACAGTAAGATGGGAAGAAAATTACCAGGTGGCCCAAAGACCCTCCTAAGAAAGTCTTAATGAGCTACTTCCTAAAGGTCATTTAGTTATCTGTCCCTTACTTCAGAAAACATGAATGACCCAGATTTCAAGGTACAATGGGTTTCAGCCTTCCTTCAGTGAGGGGAAGCTTAGCCTTCATTTGGAATGGTAGTACCACTAGCAGGTCACCTGGATCCCAACACTGTAACATCAGTGGGCTTCAGATTACTCACTTAAAATAAAAGGAATGGTTTAGAAGTTTCTAAGGTTTCTTCATCCATCTCTAGAATCTTGATATTATAACTAAGATTCTAAAAAACATTTATGACCTGCCTCATTCCAAACAGAATCTGTAGTAGCTCATACCTCACATATAAATGTGGTACACCAGTACACACAGACAGGAGAAGGGTGGTGACAGAGAAAATGAAACAGAGCCAAGAAGAAAAAGAGGAGGGGAAGAAGCAAAGACAGTATCAAAAATTTGTCAGAGCATAGCCTAATACTATCAGCCTGCAGTTTAATGCAAATAGTTTTGGGGTTTTTTTGTTGTTGTTGTTGTTGTTTTAAGTAAGTCCCATGCCTAACCTGGGGCTTGAACTCACAACCCTGAGATCAAGAGCCAATGTTCTACGGAGCCAGCCAGGTGCCCTAACACAAACAGACTTTTTTTTTTTTTTTTTTTAAAGATTTATTTATTTGAGAGAGATCACAGTAGACAGAGGCAGGCAGAGAGAGAGAGAGAGAGAGAGGGAAGCAGGCTCCCCGCTGAGCAGAGAGCCCGACGCGGGACTCGATCCCAGAACCCTGAGATCACGACCCGAGCCGAAGGCAGCCGCTTAACCCACTGAGCCACCCAGGTGCCCCGCAAACAGATTTTTAAGTTATGTCATACTACTGAGAGAAACCATCTTTCTACCCCCAAATCGAGGAAACCATTTCTTAAAAAGTCTTTAGAGATGGGTGGTTTACAGGGCCTGAGAGGCTCAATCAGTTAAGTGTCTGCCTTTGGCTGAGATCATGAACTCCAGGTCCTAGGATCGAGATCCACACTGGGCTCCATGCTCAGCGGAGAGCCTGCTTCTCCCTCTCCTGCTGCTCCCCCTGCTTGTGCTGTCAGACAAGTACATAAATCTTTAAAAAATAAAAATAAAAAGGGTGGTTTAAACCATCCAAAGACCAAATATAGTAAGCATACTTCACTTTGGAATTTAAAAAAATTTACTTTGTAGGCAGCCTTTCATTTCATTAAGAAGTCATTTTCCAATTATTTCAAATTCAGCACCTTGAGTTTAATTCTTGAACTTTAGAAAAAAGAAATCAAAGAGAAAGATAAGCATCAACAGCCTTACTTCCCATTTGATGCGATATGAAGAGAGACTACCTGCCCATGCAGAAGAGAGACACCAGGCACTCCGAAGATCCAGCCTTCTTAGGACTCCTGGTCCAAGCTGGGAAGTGCAATCAAAGAAAGCCTCCAACAGCCTAAAGCCTACTTCAGACTGAATCTGTATCAAGTCCATTTTGGAACTGCCCAAGTCTGAGTTTCAAATAAAGGGCCTTGAATTTGCAAGAGGCAAGCAAGAACTCTCATCAGCTGCTCAGTTTTGAGGATCCAATTAAATACGAAAACAAACAAACCTAAATAAGCTCCTTAAAAACTGGTATTGCCTTCAAAGATACCTGAAATTTTAGATTAAATGACACACCATGTAAGCAATAACTAAAAACATTTAATGGAAAGTTTCCCCTTGGCCAAGTGTTGTATAAGACCCATAATCATAAAGATGTCAGACATTATTTTAAGAACAAGGTCAGGGAAAGGTTAAAATCATGATTTGCTTTCCTTTTCACAGACTAAAACATACACAAAAGTTCATTAGCTGGCTGGGTCACTAAAACAAATAAAACTCTAGGAAAAAAGTAAAAGCTCAAGATAACCCTAACAAGCAGAATTCTTGGCCACAAACTTCCATTTAGCCATAACTGAGACCTGAGAAGCAACTTTTCAGCTGAAAACACTAAATTCCCTTCATGTGCCTTAAATGGTCTCCAGGAGCAGCATGGCACCTGAGGTCTGTGTTTTAACTACGAAATCACGGTCTCTAGTACTGTGTGGGATGACCCTGTGACTTTCAATAGATCAATTTCTTCAACTGAGACAGCTGTTCTAGAAAATAAGCCACCTCATCCAGAGCCCTCAAGTTGCACAACTGCAGACAGCAAGTGCCAAGTTCAGGGAGAGGAGCACATACCCAATCAGGGTTAGAGTCTGGTGACCAAAGGCTTTCCTCCACACACTTCCACACTCTAAAAAACATCTCCTTCTTTCTGAGAGTTCTTTATTACCCAGAGTTTACCCTTTAAGATATAAAAGCTGAATTTCTTCAGGGTGCACCCCCACCCCACCATTCCAGGTCTGCTCTGACCCCCAAGTCTCTCTTCAGGACATTTATGCTCTCTGTCCTCCCGGAGAGCTGCAGTGAGATGTACGAAAGCTACTAGAAGACTGGACAGCACTTCAAAGACATCAGGCATTACTTTAAAGAACACATTCAGAAAATCTCAATTCGCCTTAACAAAAAGCTGCCAAACCATGGAATTGTACACTTTAATCAGGTGAACTTATACTGTATAAACTGTATTTCAACATAGCTGCTAAAAATAAAGAGCCAGCAAACTGACCTAAGTTAAAAACAAAAACAAAAAAACCCAACACAGCATTCTTCAGGATAAAGGCCAGAAACTAAGCTCTGATCTGTTTCAACCTTCAACATTAAACAAAATGAATGGCTGCTGGGACAGGCAACAGAGACTAAACAAACTATTGTTTGTTGCGCAATCACTGCATCTTAAAGCCTTCAAAAAAAAAAAAAAAAAAGCCTGAGAGGGTGGTCACCAAAATGAAAAATTTCACTTTGAAACAATCAAAAACCATAACTAAGTTAAGGGTTTTTTTTTTTCCCCCGAGTCTCCTTTCACTTATAATTACTACTGTAACAGCAAATGATTAAAATTTGCAACCAGAAAAGACTACGATGTAGAACAGACTAGAAACTGATAACCAAAACCTTGGAGTATTTTCCCAATACAAGTTCTACCATTTCGTACACTATTCAAGCTCCAAGGGACTAGTAAATCACTTCCAAGGAACAGGAAGCCCCTTCCCCCACCAACCCAAGCCATCCTAACAGCCGGCCACTTTTACAGCAAAAATGCAGCTCTCAGAAGCAGTTCCCGCGGCGTCTTGCAGGGCCGCCCTCCCACGCCCGCCACCCGGGTGGGCAGACACCCGCCGGGCTCCCTGGACCCGACCGCCACGCGGCAGGGCCCAGACCCCTCGGCCGGGAGGCCCGGGCATCGCTGGGCGCAGCCGCGCCTGACAGAGGCCCGGGGTCGTACAGGCCTTCCCCAAGGAGACCCCAGCTTCCGCCCGCCCTGCCCGGGGCGCCCGGTACCTCATGCTGTAGGCGCCGGCGCCCAGCTCCTGCCCGATGCCCGAGAGGGTGGCGTCGAAGTCGTGCACCAGCCCGGACTCGATCACCTCGTCCATCTTGAGCACCCAGGCCATCTTCCGGCCTCGCCGCCGCCCGGCGCGGCCTCCGCGAGCAGGCGTTGGGGCCGGAGCTCCGCGGGCGCGCCCTGGGGGAGGGCGCGGGTGAAGCCTCGGGCGGCGCGGCGGATGGTCACCACAGGCGGCCCGGGCGGCGGCCGGGACGAGAGCGTCCGGGGCCCCGCAAGCAGGGCACGGCGAGCCCGGCAAGCAGCTGCAGCGGGAGCGGCCGGGCCGCCGGCAGCGCCTCCCTCCCGCGGGCGCCGGCCCCGCGCCTCATGCCGCCGCCGCCCACCCCCTGCGCCGCTAGCGCTGCAGCCGCCGCCGCCCGCCCCGCCCCGGAGCCCCCGGCCGCATCCTCCCCGGCGCCGCGCGGGGGCGGGAGCTCAGCCCGCCCGTCACCCGATCCCCGGTCTCGACCCCGGACCTCGGCCCACCCGCCCAGGTACAGGATCCCCGCCACCCCGGCCAACCCCGCCGCCGCCGCTCCGCCGGCCCGGACGCTGGCTTCTATATGGCCGCGGCCTGAGCGCTCTCGCCGCTTCCGCCTCCTCCCGGCCCCGCCCCGGTCCCGCCCCCACCCCCGCTTTCGATCCTCGCTCAGGCCCGCCCCGCACGGCGGGGCGCTTCAGGGAACTCCCGGCGCTTCCGGACCGAGAAACTGTTCAGGCGGAGCAGCGCAGCCCCGCCCACGCGGCCGATTCGCAGCCCCTGCAGCCCATAGCCTCCCCGCACTCCAGCCCAGGAAGAGGTGGTGCCCGCAGGGCGGCCAGTTTCCGCCCATTCAGAAAGGCGGACTGATTGACAGGCGAACGGGACAATAATGGCAAGTGCTTGGTCGAAGCTCCCGTGAGTCTCTGGGCCCCTGTACTAACAACCAATCAAAACGTTCTTCCTCTTGGGCGGTCTCGAGGATGGAATTGGCTGCCTAAAGAAAGAGTTCATTGGGCTGCACCGGAGGAATCCGCCCTAAACGCCGCTCCTGGAGGTCTTTTGCTCTCTTGGAGTCTTTCGGGGCAGTCTCTGGGTTTTGCCGAAACTATAAATGGGGGTGGAGGGGGCGCGGACTGAAAAGCCAAATGGGCAGAAAATCTGGATTGACATGAGTGTAGGCCAATCAACGCCTCTGAGAAGGCCTCCGGCTGTCTCCCAGTTGCAGATTGCGGTGAGCATAATGGCGAGCCTGAGTTAAACTGGGTTTTCAGTCCCAGTAACAGCCAGCAATCGTGTTACTGTTACCGCTCTTGGTTTTGGAGGTTCACTGGGCTTAGATGATTCTCGTTCAGGGTCTGTCTGTTCTGTGGGTGGAGTGGCATGGCTGGGCTAAAGTCCTCTCAAGGGCTTCCCCACTCACGTGTCTTACTGCTTGATGTCGGCTATCCCCTGGAACATCAGTTGGGGTTGCTGGAATGCCTACACAGTGGCCTCTCCGTGTGGTCTTGACTTCTCTCGGCATGGGAGCTGGGTTCCTAAAGCAAGTGTCTCAAACGACAGAAAGTGGAGATTGCTGGTTTCTTAATGACAAAGATTCTTTGCTTGACCAAACTTTAGTCAGATCTCAAACCTTCCAGACCCATCTGTGCACATTCTTGTAAAATTCAGTTTTAGCAAGAACCCTCTACCTCCTTAACTGCTCAGGTTCCTTAGCCTCTGCCATCCCCCGGGTGATGTCTGATCACCCTGGCGGGTCTTCAAAAGAATTCTGTTAGGTACTTCTGCCGGAACCACCCCGCCTTACCTCTTTGTAATTTCTTCATAGTAACTTTGCATTCACTCATCCCCAACCTGCTCCTCGACTCCAAATTCCCACTTAGCCATGCTGTATTTGGCGTTGAGCCTAATCCCCATTGCAAAATTGTGTTGGTATGATCCTTAATACCTATTGTAATAGTCCTGAGTAAAGTCTGTCTTGCCATTTTTAGCAAGTGACACTGAATATTTTTTCTGAAAGCCTGGGACCAAAAACTGACACAGACTCTTTATTCTGTACTGTATTAGTGAAGCAGCCATAGAATAAGGTTGATGGGAGAAGAGTTAGTTTTGGGGGGCCATGTTTTAAAATTTCCAAAATTCACCATCAGGCCACAAATGTTGTATACTCTTTCCACAAGCAGTGAACACTCACCTCTTCCCCCAGACCCCTGCAAAAAGCCCTCATCCCTTTACAACATTAAGGTTCGGGATTTTGTGAGGTCCTGGAACAGATGAGGCACTTTGGGTGCTGTTCCTTGGTTGTGCATTAAGTGGTTCTTTAAAGTGGCTCCTCTTGGGGCGCCTGGGTGGCTTAATCCTTAAACCTCTGCCTTCCAATCTGGTCATAATTCCAGGGTCCTGGGATCCAGCTCTGCATTGGACTCCCTGCTCAGCAGGAAGCCTGCTTCTCCCTCTCCCACTCCCTCTGCTTGTGTTCCCTCTTTTGCTGTCTCTCTCTCTCTCTCTCTCTCTCTCTCTGTGTCCAATAAATAAACAAGATCTATTTTAAAAAATCAATAAATCGGGGCGCCTGGGTGGCTCAGTGGGTTGAGCCTATGCCTTTGGCTTGGGTCATGATCTCAGGGTCCTGGGATCAAGTCCTACATTGGTCTCCCTGCTCGGTGGGGAGTCTGCTTCCCCCTCTTTCTCTACCTGCTTGTGATCTCTCTCTGTGTGTCAAATAAATAAAATCTTAAAAATAAATAAATAAATAAATAAATTGGCTTCTCTGTATGAAGATCTGTGAATTAAAAAGACAAATGACGGACACCCAGGTGGCTCAGTTGTTAAGCATCTGCCTTTCTCGGGTCAAGATCCCAGAGTCCTGGGATCAAGTCCCACATCGGGCTCCCTGTTTGGTGGGGAGTCTGCTTCTACCTCTCCCACTCTCCCTGCTAGTGTTCCCTCTCTGGCTGTGTCTCCTCTCTCCGTCAAATAAATAAATAAAATCTTTAAACAAACAAAAAATAAATAAGACAAATGATCTGTCCCAACCACTACCACATACTTCACACCCAATAATGGGAGAGGCACAGGAAACTTACCTCTACAGACACTTTTCTTCAAAGAGGGAATGGAAGGCACAAAGCAGTCACCAGATCATAGACATTCTGAAATTCAGTTGGGTAAATGTTGCCAGTTCCTTGCTTAGGAACTTCATCATACTTCCTGGAATGTTCAGTGGCTCTTCTCTCTGTCCACTGGACTCTTGATTCTGCCCTCTGAGTTATCCTTCCTGTTGCTTAAAAAGTAGCCCATGTTTACAAATCAGTTTTCTCAGCTGTTTTCCATCCATAGTTGTGCAGGGGTCTGAAGTATTCTCTTCATGTGGTGCTCTCATTGTCCCTTTTTAGACCAAACTGATACAATTCATTTTTAAGCTTTGTGGGGTTTTTGTGAATCAATTTATAATCTACTCCAATGAACAAAAACTTGGTACCAACACGTATCTGGGAGGCAAGCTTGGCGGCATTGTTCTGGCTTATGTTTCTCTTAAGATTACAGTCAAGATATCAGCTGGAGCTACAGTTTATCTGTGGGCTTATCTGGGGCAGGAGGATCCATTTTTTTTTTAAAGCTCATGTGCATGACTGTTGGCCAGAAGCCTCAGTACCTCATTTGGGACCACAGGACTCCCTAAGTATCCTCAAAACATGGCATCTGGCACTGCCCCCACCCACCCAAAGTAAGTAAACCAAGACAGAAAGGAGGCTGCTCTGCCTTTTATGACCTGGTCTCCAAAGACACATTATCCCTTCCACTTTATTGCTGCTCCAAACATGCAAGTCACTCCATCTAGCCTCCATTCAAGAAGAGAATTTGCCAGGGCACCTGGGCGGCTCTGTCAGTTAAGCATCTGTCTTCAGCTCAAGGGTCATGATCCCAGGTTTTGGGATACAGCCCCACGTCCATGCTCCCTACTCAATGGGGAGCCTGCTTCTCCGTCTCCCTCTGCAGTTCCCCCCTGCTTGTGTTTTCTCTCTCTTTTTGTCAAATAACTAAATAAAATCTTTAAAAAAATAAGGAATAAAAGAATTTGTCTCCATCTTTTGAAGGATAGATGTCAAAGAACTTTACATATTTTTAACCAGAACAGCAATGTTCATTATCATCACTTAATGGGTTTTTGAAAACACTAAACAACACAATTAAATCAGAAAAAGAGGGACACCTGGGTAGCTCAGTCGGTTAAGCAGCTGTCTTCGGCTCAGGTCGTGATCCCAGGGCGCTGGGATCGAGTGCTGCATCTGGCTCTTTGCTCAGCGGCGAGTCTGTTTCCTGCTCTCCCTCTGCCTGCCACTCCTCCTGCTTTTGCGTGTGCTCTGTCTCAGACAAATGAATAAATAAAATCCTTAAAATAAATCAGAAAAAGAAACTAGAGATATAAAAGTGGGAAAAGGAGGTTAAAGTTATCACTATTTATAGATTATATGTTCATATACCTGAAAATCTCATGGGAAACAAGTAAAAATTGAATAACATAGTGACATACAACATGAATATTCATAAATCAACAGTTTCGTACAAAGAACTTTGACAATGTAATGAAAGAAAAGGATCAATTTATAACAGAATTTAAAAAGATAAAATACGTCCGAACCAACCTAACAATTATAAAGAAGTGTGTGAGCAAAATTTTTAAATCCTCAAAATGAATACAAAAGTATACTGAACATAAAATACTACATCTGGTATTATAATGGTAGTTCTGCTTAAGCTAGCCAGTAAAGTTAATGTGATTCCAATAAAAACACTGACAGAATTTTTTTAATTGGACAGCATGATTCTAAGATTAACATGGAAAAGTAAATGAGCAAAAATAGTCAAAATTTTTTTAAGTTTAGATATTAAAACACTATAAAACCTAAGTATTTAAAAACAGTATTCGTTGATGAATGGATGAGCAATGAATGGAAGAGAATGAAAGATCCCGGAACAGATCAATATGCATATGGGAATTTATTATGTAATAAAAGCTGGCATCTCAAATCAGTGAAAGAAAATGGACTATTTAATAGCTGGTTTGGGGATCAACTTTAAGCACCTGAAAAAGCTTATACCAGAATAAATTCCAAATGACTCAAATTTCTTTTTCTTTAAAAAGGCTTAAAAGGATAACAAACAGAAATTATAAAACACTAGAAGAAAACATGGGCAAGTAATTGTAGAGACTTGGGAAAAGGCTTTTGTAAGTACGACACAAAATCTAACAATCATAAAAGATTGATGCACTTGAAAACATAAAACTATTACTTTATAGTAAACACCATGATAAGCAAAA